GAAACCTCCAAAACATGCCACCTTAGAGAATTCAAGCACTATTCTGCTTAGTTGTTTACTGTGCATAAACCTTTCCACTAGGGATTTTATCACTTCTATATTCTTTAGAGGGCACAGCACACTCTTGGAGCTACAAATGTTAAAATAAATAATAGAAGTAATAGAATAAATTTATGTTAGTCACAAACTCATCCTCTAAGACTGTATCAAATATGTTCTAAATAAGCTAGGCTTAGGAAACAATAAATCAAGTATCTGTTAACATCAGCAATTTCCTGTCCACTGACAATTTTCAACGATTTTACTAAGACTGGATGGGAAGATTTCCCCACTGCCTGGGCTACATAGGTCTGGTTCATACCAAATTTCTTCCACAGAGACTTTGTCAGTCTAACGGTCATCTCTCTGTACATAGTGAAAATTGCCTCTGAACCCAAAGTACATAGGAAATTCTTTATGTGTGACTGGTGCAACAGTCAGAATATTCTGAAGCTGCCCCAGTAGCAAGAACTGCAGCAGTTATATGTAACCATGTACTCACACAATGCTAGTTCACAGGTTACTTTCTGCACAGATCAAGCACAAGAAGTGAAACAAGCACAATTCAAAAGACATGGTATATGGGAAATTCAATGGCATCAGCCTGATGCATGAACAGGCATGCAGACTCTTAGGAGAGGAATATGTCACTCTCTGAAGACTACCAAGGTCTTGATGTGACCATCTGCAGAAGCAGTCTGTAAAAGTACCAAAGCTACTGCCATTATAATGCTTTGCATGGATTCCTTTTAGATATATCTGTCCACACAACAAGGCAAAGCATTACTAGCTGTTAAGAATGTTGATCACACCTTGCAGAGCCCTGAGATGACTGAAAAAGCATGACCCACTTCTTGTTCACTGCCAGCACTTTTGAGCAATTCAGGGCATAGCAAACATTATCATCCTTTCTTCTCTTTTTCTTCTTTTTTGGGAGGGAGGGGGGCAAGTTCGTGCAATGTAAAATAAACCCTAATACTAAACAAGCTAAATTGATTTTAACCTTTTTTAAACATTTCAATTGTAGTCCTTTAAAAAATAACCTTATGGTTAAATACAAATTTAATTCAAGCATGCTCAAGAATAACTATATCAAACTAAAAACATTAAGCTTTAAACAGATGAACTGAATTAATTATAGTTCAGGACAATAACTTGGAATATGATTTTTGAGATCAAGCATCATTAGAAAGATCATATATTCCACTCCACACCGAGATCATGCATGCATGCTACCAAGGTGTTTTCATGCTTCTACTTTATGCACAAAAATGACTAGAATTCTTCAATGTTTTTCACCTCTGACTCTAGTAAGTGAACTGTGAGACTGCTGGTATGGGAAGTCAGCTGGCAATTCAGAGTCTGATGCAGTAAGCATCAACTAGGGAAACTCAGTACTTTCTCAACTTTCCATCTACAATTGCTTGGCTAGGATGGAAGTTTCTTCTCTATGGTGGAACCTTTTGCCTTCAGAAATCCATCTGGCACTCTTTGTTATTGTTTTGGTACCTTGTAAGGTATTTTGTATTCAGCAGCCATTGTGCCTGACTAGTTAATTATTCATGTTTGATTTAAGACTTTCAGTCTAGACTCCTCACATTGGATTTTTCTGATTTTTTCTTTTAATTGATAGCCACCTTTGTGCATTTCTTAGAAGTAGGATGGCAGCATATAAATTCTTTTAAAAACAACCACTTTTAAAATCTCACAAATAAACACCGCCCATTAATAAAATGCAAGCACACTTTTGCGCATATTTAGATAGAAAAGAGTCCTACAACTCCCAACATTCTGTAGCCAGCGTGGGTCACTAAAGAATGCTGGAAGTTGTAGGACTCTTTTCTGTCTAATTATGCTAAAACTGTATTCAAGTAAGCAAGAATATATTGGGTTCTGCATCCATACAGATTCAAATAAAAATCATTATTTTTTGCAATCTCTCTGACCTGCAAATACTTAACTATACAATACAGCATGGGCTGCACAGTCATTTAAAATATGTTCCATACATTTTAATTGTGAGAGCAACCAGTTAGTATACATATTCATTCCAAAAATTACAATAACGGAGACTATTGAAATTGGTCATTTTTCATTGTGATGAAAAATGGTTCATTCCCTCTGAATGGCATTATCTTTCTGTACTCCTTGTTATGTCTTTCAACATCCTGGAAGTGCTCCATTTCAGGAACGGAAACAAAATTAACAGAGTCATATAAAATGAGACCTAGCTTTAAAAAAACCCAACAAGTTCCACATGCCATACATCATATTATAAAGGCAATCATACTGCTCTAGGCACGACTGTCGTATTTGCTTTCTGTGTTAATGGGAAGCTTTAACACCACAACTAGGTAACAAAAGGTTAAACTTGTTATTACCTGAGTAGGTTGGACTGTGATTAACAGAAGCACGAACAATTTACATTCATGTATATCACTCCTGGCTATGTGCAAAACACTCTGTTATCCAACCCCCATATATTCTACTTCCTGATAAGTCACCATTGTTTAATATAATATTTTGCATTCTGGTGTTAGTCATACAGAACTTCATCATTTTAGTTTCCTTACTGACCTAGATATTGTGTCTGTCTACATATTGACTACAAATAAAAATAGAGCATGCATTAATAATAAACAATCATTGTATTAATAAACTTGAGCTGGGGGAGCATCACTTTCTTTTGACCTGTATGATATATTCTGGAAACTCATGCAGCCACTGTGAAAACCAAAGCCAAAACATGGCACAAAGTAACATGAAACTACCCTAGATATGCCAGCATTCCCAAACCTGGTGCCTTCCAGATGGTTTAGACAAAAACAGCATCTATGATCACTGGCCATGCTGGATGGGAACTGAAGCCCCCAACATCTGAAGGACAATCTGCTGTATAAACCTGGGATTCAATGCAGATTTAACTGGATCAACAATACTAATGGAAGTATCCCACTTCCCCCTTCCCATATATCACATCCAGCCCTCTGAAGATGCTACAGGGCGCTGAGAGACACTACTATGCTGTGGAAGGCAAGGTGGCAAGCCCTAAAATCAAGCAGAGGAAACTTCTGAGAGCAGATCATTTTCTCCTACAGAAGTTCCCACTTCTCACAGAAAGCGTATCTTGGATCTTGCCCCTGTTATATAAATTAGGGTACAACAGATAAATATTAGATCTGTTATTTTGATCCAATCACATTTACCTGCTCTATGAATCTCAGTACATGGACCTGGGAAAGCAGAAAACCAGACAGAAGAGTTGGAGCTTTCAAGATAAATCTAGGTGGAATATATTGGATTATGTAGGGTTTCAACAACTAAATGAAACTGGTCCTTCAGCTGGTACAGAAAAGCAGGGAAGTCTCACTTGGAAGCTCATTCCCTAACCAGGGAGGCTCAACAAAAAGTGTCCTCTTCCTAGTTGCTACCCCCCTCACTTCTTTTAAGTGGAGGGTCCCAAAGGAAGCACCAGTGAAGAGGATCTTAGGGCAGGTGAATCTGGGAAGAGACTATCCTTCAGGTAATTGCCCTGCAAGCTGTTTAGAGCTTTGAATGTTAATAGCAGCACTTTGAATCATGTCCAGACATGGACTCTCAGGCAGTGCAGTTAAAAAACACACCAACATAATATGATCACCTTGGCCAGTCCCTGTTAACAATCTGCTGTTTTATTTTGGACCAGCTGGCATTTCCATGCCACATTCAAATGCAGCCTCATGGCAATACTCTAAAAAAGTGGTTAACAGAACATGGATAATTATACCTAGTCTATGTCCAGAAAAAGACACAGTTGGCATATCAGCTTCATCATACCAAGTCCACCTGTGCCTCTATTGATAATGCTGTATTCAAGAGCACTCGCAACCTGTCAACCTAGGAATACAAACTGCTCCAGAACCAATTGAACAATGCGGAGCTCAGGTTCAGAAAAGTTCTGAGATGAATTGTCCTTCAGCTCTGGATTCACTCTGCAGGTTGCAAAATCACATGCATTTTTTTTTAGCCTATTCCTTATCCCTTACCCTTACAGAATCAAGGATGTCCTACCTCACCAAACTAATGTAACAAGAAACAGCACAATGAAAACTATGCTTTTAAACCTGCCTTCCCTAACTTGGTGCCCTCCATGTTCTGGGTTACAAGTCCCAGCATTCTTGAATATTGGCTATATTGTCTAGGGCTAACAGAAGTTGAAGTCAAAAACATCTGGAGGGCACCATGTTACAGAAGGCCGTTTAGAACTTTGTACTCTCCAGTGTTCAATACAGCTATTGAGGAAAACAATGATGCCTTGTTTCAAAAACAAAACACACATATAGGACAAGACATCTTTGGCTGAATCTTTATCTAATCTATAATATTATATATGTAAAATGCTGGTGTAGCATAGCAGCCAAGGCATAATACACAAGCCAGTTCAAATGCTGCCTCAGCCACGCTTTATTTCTTGATTTTAAAACCATCACTTCTGATTTTCAGCCTGCTATACTCTCATCTGCTGTGAGATATAACTACACTGTCCTATATAACAGTGTAGGGTATATCGATAGGGTATAATGCAAACTCTCAGAAAGAATTCGGCATAAATCACAAGGGTGACATGTATGTTTTGCAACACTAAGCAGCATGTATTGCTGTTTACTACTTCAGAGGGATCAAACCTCTTTCAGCCCGAAGACCGAATACAGTTCGGAAGTTTCCAGGACCCACACGCCAAGGGGTGGGCGGGACCCAAGGCCAAAGGGAGCTTTACTTTGTAGTAGTCGTCTATGAACTTTACAAATGCTGAAAGTGGAAGGGTTGCCTCGAAGCCTCTGACCAGAGGAAGCCACGCTGAAGCCCAGTGGTCTCTCTCTGCGGAAGTTGTCGAGCAGGAGCCCAGCCGGGTCCAGTTGAGGCTGGGCCCACTAGAGACTCTTCGCTTCGCCCCCCTACCCGCCCTCGCCGGCCCTCCTTACACAGTGACATGGCCAGAGCCGCGCACCACCACCGGGTCCGGCGAGTGCTTCAGCAGCTGCTCCTCCAAGGCCCTCTCCTCGTCTTCCTCTTCTTCGTAGATCTCATCGAAGTCCGCCATGGCCGGGCCCGGGCCGCGACAACACTCCCGAGGACCAGCGAGGAGGAAGAAGAGACGCCGGGAAGGAGACAGATGAGGACGGGCAGGAGAGGACGGCGGCGGAGGCGCGAGAGCAGCCGCTTCTTCCACCACCGGGACGCTGACGCTCCGGCCGCAGGACCGCCGAAGCCTCCTCAGAGCCGCAGGGAGGAAGCGCCCGTCATGATCCCGCGGAGGGGGATGGACAGGAACAACAACAATAACAACATCCGCTCTCCGGCGCCGCGGCAGCCACTGCCTGAGAAGCCGCAGGCGCAAGGCCCCGCCCCCTGCTCTGCCGCGCGCGCGCCCGCGAGAATCTCGCGGCGGCACGTTCGCGAGCTCACGGGCAGGCACGTGGGGGCGGGAGGGAGGCCGCCGAGCGCACGCGCTGTTCGGAAGGCGCTGTCGCCCAAGAGGACGGTTGATCGGCAGCGTGCGGCTCACGGGAGGGAAACGCTGGCTGGCCTGAGGTTACTTGAGGAAAGGGATCCCTGGAGCCTGGTTTTACGACGGAGGGCTCCTTTCTTTTAATCCGCCTTCACTTCGACGCGCATGGTGATTACCAGGAAGTTCCCCTGGAGTCTTTGGCAGATATTTTCGCAAGTAAAGGTGCAATCCTATGCATGTTTAGATAGGAAAAAAGTCCTATAGCAACCATGGCAGAAGTTGTAGGTCTTGTTTTTTGCTTTTGCAAATCTCAGTTTGCATAGGGTTGCCTAGCAGCTTGAGCTCAACCATATCGCCTATGAAATAAAGCCTATTGATTTCAATAATATCGACTTGCAGAGTTTAAGATTGAAACCTTACAATGCAGTCCTAAGCAGGTTGATCCCGTTGAGTTAGAGGGGTCTCCTCCACTGAAAAGTGAGCCTGACTGAGTTCCAAGGGACCTAGTCCCAAATAACTGTGTGTATAATTGAAGCTTTAATAATTAATCTTCATGGCTGTAATCCGTACTTGCTGAACCGTGCAGTGAGACTTGCTTCTGAGCAAATATGAATAGAGGGGCCGTGGCCTGTGCAGCTACAATCCTTATGCACTCGGAGAACAAGTCATTTTGAACACAGTGGAACCCACTACTGTAAACATAGGATAGGGCTGCAAGGGTGCAGTCTTGTGGCTGCTTATTTGAGAATAAGGTCAACCAAGGGCAGTAAAATGCACTTTTTAATAGATAGACTTAGGATAAGATTGTAATTACAGCTCTTGTACAATAATTTTTATTGTAAACTGTTCAGAGAGCCATTTGGCTAGTGCAAACGGTATACAAAAGCTCTAATAAATAAATTTGACCTTTATCCTTATGATTGCAGTCAAATCATTTTATAGGATATGGCTGTAAAGAGGAAAACTGTATAGACAGCTTGCTGTTTCTTTGAAATTTCCGTACTAGTTACTTATACTGTTGAAGAAGTGAGTTGATTTTCAGGTTCATTTCTGGAATGGAAATAAGGCGGTGCAGCATGTGATAAAAACATCAGAGACCTCATGATTTTCAGCACATTCTTCAGCTTTCAGACCTCATGATTTTCAGCTTTCATAACAATCTTGCCTAAGTGGATCTTTCTAAAAATACTAGCCACTACTGGTGGTCCCCAGTTCAGAGTTCAAGACAGTTGCTGGAGAGAATGATTCCTGAAATCAGTTATTAATTCAAGCTTTTTCAACAGTGTACCGTTTCTTTTATTTAGTTGTTATTTATGAGAAGTTTACCTACAGGACAACTCTGTGACCCTGCTATATCAGTTGGCTCAGCTTCCAGGGCCAGCGCTGATACAATATAGTTGTGATCCTACACACACGCAGCAGTAAAAGCAGACAGCACAATTCTACATTTAATGGTACATTTGAAGACACACCCACAACATTCCTAGCAACTTGGCTGCCTTTCATCTGTTCCAGTGTCACTCACTAGCAGTTATTTCCCACATGCTATCCTTTAATGGAAGGCAAGGCACCAGTTAAGATCCAATGACAGTGGTTACACCGTCCCTGGGAGTGTCACCCTATATGTTCCCCACCCACACAGGAGAAGAATTCTAGGAATGAACAGCATTTCCACATGCTCTGTCAAAGCATTTGATGGCTTGCATGCTGTACAGGGAAGCCTCTAAAGAGAAGGGTGTGAATACTAACCCTTTCTGGAATAATTGGAATAATACCACTGGCATACTAACAATTCCATACAAAGAAGGCACACAGCATGTTCATATTGATTTCTGTAAGAGAGGGACAGGCACTGATAGGCTTCATACAACACAACAAGCAATCCTGTGTGGTTACCACAGGCTTTTTTTTACCATGATCTAGCTGACAGACAATCATGGGATTTCTACATTGCTGTGGTTTCCATTCTCCATGCTCGGTCTGCCCACCACTGGCATGTATCTCATCAGCCGCCATGCCTGAAATTCAGTTCCAAGCTGCATTACTCCCTACTTATGTTGCTTGCCTTTTCCTCATTGGTCCACATGTCTCTTATTAGGTAGAGCGGGATGGTAAAGCTGCATACTGGAGCAGCTCCTAGCATGGCTGCTCTTTCCAAGGGACTCTGTGGTATGGCATAGCAGGACCATTGAAACCATGATCCTGGGTTCAGTCAACACAACAAGCCATGTTGTTACAGAGAAAACAAACCAATTTTATCCTGGTTTCTAAAGACCAAACTTTTATGGTGACCTACCGTGACTGCATGGTTAAAAAAAACCATGAGGAAGACACAACAGACTGAAATGGTTAAAAAAACCATTTTTTCGTGGCTTCTGGTGCTGTCTGAACCCAGCTACAACGAGAAGCAAAACAGATGAGAGCATATTCAAAGTAGGGGAGTAAAGACCACAAATGGCACTTTTACCCTAAATTAACCCTTGCACTCTGCCATTTGTTCATTGTCCATGTCTCTTTACCTGGTTCTTTTAATGAAACAGCACTGTTCCCGGACATAGCACCAAGGATCCCCTTCCATTTTCCTCTCTCTTTTGTTACCGTTTGCTGTCTATCACACATCTATCTATTCATACCATTTATCATTGTATAGCCAAAGTTCTCAAGGAGAATGAAAGCAAAAATGGTAAAACCAATAAGAAAATGCATTTAAAGGTATGGTTTTTAAAGCAACAGCAGAAAAGAAAAAAAGACAAATCAGCATTTAAAAGAGATAAACCACTGAGCAACTAAGTAGAAAGAATATGACTTTAAAATGCAGCATTACCTATATTAAAACCATGCAATTAAAATATTTAAAAAGCCCTAGGATCTTACAGCTTGACACTGAAAAGTCAACAAAGTAGACACCAGGTAGATTTTTCTAGGGAGAGCATTGCACTGTTTGTGGGGGACACCAGATGAGCAGCCACTCGCCAATCTCCATGTTAGAAAGCCCATCTGAGCAGGGCCTCTTCTTCTGCCCTTTTATAAAAAGTAGTCTTGCTTTGACCTAAGTTTATTGACTTCCAATCACTCCCTTGCTGCCCTGACACTCTTAGTTCTGAGGATCCAGGAGAGGGTATCCGGTCTGTGTACACACAGGAAGTGGAGAGGGGAGGTGCTGTAACCATTTGCAGTGAGCTGATGGTGGCCATGTGTTGCCCAGTCTCAGTCTGTGCAAGGCATCCCTCCCGCTGGAGTCAGTGAGGCTTGGTGTTGTGCAAGTTCACATGGGAATGTGGCCCAGAGGCTCGTTCATGCCCTACATTGCATTGCCACTGGCTACCCCATGTTTTCCAGCTAGCAGCCCCACGCATAGTTCATTGGGTGGGGTGTCTGATTTCCTCATCAGACCCAAAATTTGTTATAAACTCTGCACATGGACTTTCAGCTAAATTAGTTTGCTATGGCAGTTTCTATGTAGCTGCCATTCTAGAGAGTTTCCAGAGTATGGCATTATTTCATTTTCTTGAACATTGTGTGGGGTGGGTGGTTTGATTACCGTTTTTACAGTCTTTGTTCTTCACGAAGCCCTTTGCTTTGGGCTTAGATCCAGCATTAGTTTAGCTTAAATCTCATTCAATTATCAGACATATGCTGGGAGCAGGATTCCTTCCAGCTGTTGCTTTGGACTGCTTTGGGTATGTTGCTAACAGCCATACGATTTCCATACATCAAACTGCCTAATGGATCCCCCTCAGCTGGGAATGGTGATGAAAATGTTTCATATTGCTGCTCCCTTTTTCTGGCCTGGAGGCATCTTGTGAAGAATGTCCTGGTTGTGGGTGTGGAATGGCTGGCCAGCTTGCTGCCCATCGATCGGAGGTGTTGAAGGCCTTTCAGACCAAGGGATGAGTTCCATTTGCATTGCAGAGGAGCTCTTGGGAGCATTCCCAAAAGGAGCATTCCAGTGGTAGGCAGAACCAAAAGTACCAGCCTGTTATAGGTTAAAGCTGAGCCAGGGGCAAAGCCTTGAGAGATGCATTCCATCTTTTAGAAAGGGTGGCAAAAGCCAGGCAATGAACAAGAGGTTGCAGGTAGAGAGCAAGGGGGTGAGGCCAGTGGAAGGAGCACAGCCATCTGGGTAGGCCTGGGAAGCCAGACTGAGAACACAAGCATGCCTGACTTGCTTCCTGGGCCCAGTGCCTTGCAGCAGAAGCCATGTGTTGGACTGCAGATCCCACCAGCCCAGATAGCAGGGTAAATGTGCACCATGCTGAGAATGATGGGAATTATAGTCCAACACATCCAAAGGGCACCAGCTTGTGCAACGGCTCTGTGATGCTTTGGACTATTTTGCCCAACACTCACCTGTATCTGTAACCTTAGATTGCCATTAAGAGAGGGGGAAAGCAAGGGAGGAGAAAGCACTATAGCCTCCGAGCTCATATGCAAGGTCTACTAAAGCCCATGTGGAGACCCAGAGGTAAAATGAGAAATTCCTCTGGGCTACTTGGAAGCAAAAGGGACTCTGGGTTTGCTGTATGCAAACTGAGACTGTGGAGATAGCCCTGGAAAGGGAAGGCCTCACAAACTACTGAGGTTAGGAAGACTTGCCATTGAACTGACAAACACAAACATGAACTGTTACATTTTGAGTCTAGTTCTTTTCTGCCCCTAACCCAACAAGAGTGCGATCCTATGCATATTAAGACAGAAAATCAGCATTCCCCAAACAGTTATAGGCATAAACTACACCATTAATTTGATAGTTCTGGTTCACACAGCACTATGGCTATGATTCACAGAAGCACTTCTGGTGTGCTTGGAAATCTCATTCATGCTAGCCTACAAAGCCCA